GTTTTGGTGTTATATTATTTCATACAATTATTGTGTTTTAATTTTATTCGATATTAAAACATTTAATACTTTCATATTTTAAAAATTTACTTGAATATTCTCAACATTCGGATTATTTCCTTTGAGTAAAAATTATTTTTGTGATTAGAAAAATTAATTTTGTGTTTAGTGCCACTCAAATTTATTTAGGAAATTTATTGAAAAATTAATTTTGTGATCTGAAATAATTCTATTCAACAAATTTTTATTTGCAATTTTAAAAAAATTATTTTGTAATTATAATTTTGTGAGTACTTATTGTTAAAATAAAATAAAATTTAAATTTAAAAATTAATACAACCTTATTGTTAAAATAAAATTAAGATTTGTGATCGAAAAATTAATTTAGTTATCTGAAATAATTTCATTGAATAAATTTTTATTTGTAATTTTAATTTATTCAACATCTGAAATTAATTTTGTGATCAGTATGTGTCAAACCACTACTACTTATATATATATATATAAACTATATTACATACAAATAAAAACCCAGTGAAGCAGGTCCTTGCAGCTAGTAATTATATATTAGAGCCAAACAAATAAAAGATTAGATTGGGTTATATTACTGCTGTATTAATAGTAGCAGTAATATAGCCCAATCTAATCCAGCAATTGTTTTCTTTTTCAATATTTTATAGGCCTATTGTTATTATGCATTTATTATCTTCTGGCACAAACATGTTTTTAGACTTTTATACACACTGGCAAGTCAAAAAAATCCTTGAAAGCAAAAATGAATTTCAGCCATGTTTTGCTTTACAGCAGTCTAGTCCTCAGTCTTCTATATTTAGTAGAATTTTTATTTACACATAATTTATATACTGAAGCTCTAATTATACTGTACAATGTTTCACTTTCTTCACACATAATAGCATTACTTTCTACTATTTTGCTACTAAAATTGGAACTAAAGATGACATTCTTGTCACTTTGATTTATTTTCTTCATTTTTGTAAACTATACAGTGTGAAGACTGGACAAGTTTTGAAAAATTTTTTTGAAGATATACTAGTTTATATATTTTAAAATTTATTTTTAAGTAAATACCTTTAGTCCTGCACAATGTGCAAAAAAACTTTCTGGACTCTGTGAATGATACATAGCACCATGTCCAACAGCTCCAATTGGTGCTCTTATTGTTAAATTTCCACAGTCATATTCATTACCAGATCTATATCTATATTTTGCAGCTTCATTGACAATCTAAAAAATATGTATAATCAAATAAATATCATCTAAAAAATATTGCTCAATATTATAATAAAATCAAATCATAAATGAAGATTTTTTAAGAAAAATTTGAAAAATATTTCAAAATAAATCTGTTAGATTTATTTTAATTTTAAACATTGTTCAACATTAACTGTTAAAGATAATTTTTAATACATCTAATAGTTTTAAAAAAATACAACCTTTTCCTGTCATATCAATTTATATGAATTTCATAGTTGCATTTAAACTGAATGAATTTAATATATTTCTTATCAAGGATTTTTAAAAATTAACCAGAAAATAATTTAACCTTTTATTTTTGGAAATCAAAAAATAACAAACATTTATTGAGTTTTTGATAACAATTGATATAACATGATACTTTAATATCTTTCTTTCTTTCTTTCTTTCTAAAGTAAAAACTTTTATTTTAATTATTATACATTATATAATAATTAAAATAAAAAATAATTATATTTTTATTTTATATATTTTCTTTGTAACTAGTAACTTGTTTTTATCTGTTTTGTTATTGTTACTGGGTTGTTGTAATGGGGTGGCATNTGAAAAGTACTAAATTAATGAAATTCTATAAAAGAGAAGTGCCTTAAAGCAAAGTATGTCTGTATTGAAAATTTTCATTGAAAAAGAATTGATAGTAATAAAAAACAACATTATAATTTTAAAAAATGAGGAGCAAATTAATAATAATAATAATAATAAACATCTAAAAAATAAGCAGTAGGCACTTAAAATCAATTGTTCAGATGGTGTTTTGTTGTATAAGTGTAAAAGGTTAAACTTTGTTAATAGCACATCAATTATTTTAATTTTTTACTATTTCACATTTTTTCTGTTATAAGCACTCAACATCTTTCAAATGTACTATCCCTTTTTTTATAAGAAGTCTGCTTCTACTCAAATATTTCATGTCAGCAAGTAAATCAGTGAGGCCAATTTAATTTACTACATGATATTATGAGATATATTGTAAATAAATTAAAGATTTAAAATACCTGCTGTTGGATCACTTTCAAGTGCTATATCAAGTGCATTCGTAACAGCTTGGTAAAGATTCATTCGAGCAGTTTCACCTATATAAAAATATATAAATTTAAATTAAATAATTGATTTATACAAGGCCAACCTGACTGGTAAATGTATTAGCTTTGACAGAAAAACAATAGCAAATAGCAATCAAAATTTTAACATTTAAAGCATTATTTAAGACTGATAATATGCAATCATTTTCAGTCTTACCAATAGCATGAAAGGATAACTTAAAGAATGTCTATTTACCTGAATATAATGATAACTATAATAAAACTGTGATTACAATACACAAAGTTTTATAAATGGATTTTAACTTGAATGTTTTGGATTATGGATTCTGATAACAACAGTAAATGAGTAATAACAATATCTGCATTTAAATTAAGTAAATTCTACCATATTTAAATTTTGACATTGATTAGAAATTTTTGAAGATTTTAATAAAATTATGTTTACTACATCAAGTATGATAAATAGTTAAGGTACAAAAATTAATCATTAATATATTCCATATGTCCTAAGAATATTAGTAATTTATCCATGAATCTATCATTTCATTGTACTTACTACATAAATTCAAACTATACTCAAATAACATAAATTCTTATTAACTAATAACATATTTGAGATCTATGGGATTTATTATAAACGATGAAACTAAAAATTAATTAATTCTTACTTAATAAATATTCTTAATTAAATATTAATTACACATAAAAATAATTTTTTAGCACTTTAAACCAATTTTATTAAACTATGACCACACGAATATACCCATTTCCATATTAAATTAAAGCATTCTTTATCTATTATTAATTTTATTCACCATTGCTGTAAAACTATATAACTATTTAAATAAATGTTCAGCTTTCATGATTAATAAAGTATTTCATATTCTAATAATAGCTCTTTAAATTGCAATCAACTTGTGTACTATGATTAAAGTCACTTCTATCAGGTTGTAAAGGTATAATTCATTTTGAAAAAAAAAAGTTTATTGACAATTAACAGCAATTACAGTTCAAACTTTAAGTAATCACTATCAATATCAATCACATCTCATCACCTTTGTTGCAAACTTTTGATCCCATGAGCATAGAATGATTGGGATTTTTCTTTGAGAAAAGTCTCAAGCATTGTTCTCACATGAATATTATCATAGAACTGGTTCAATATGGTTCTACAAGCCACAAAATAGTATGATAGTCAGTTAGTGCCATGTCTGGACTGTAAGATGGATGAGTCAGAACTTCCCAGCCTGGAATAGCCAGCTTTTCTAAGAGTATCTTTTCTCTATGTGCTGACATGTTATCATAGCAAAAAACTTTGTCAAGATCAAAACAAAATCAAAGAACTTTTTCCAAGTATTGACAAAGTTCTTTGATCTTGGTGTTCAAATGATCCAATTGTTTACAGTAGAATTCTTTTGTAATAATGATGTTTATTGGAAGCAGCTCCAATATGATGATGCCAAACAAATGCAGATTCTTCTTTACCTTCTTCCACAGCATCAGCTCTTTGACATTTGCAATAGACAGTTGACCTTTGTTCACCCATAAATGTTTTAACAAATGATTTGCAAATGAAATTGTGAGCTTTTGTTTTGAAACAAACAAATACCTGTTTTCCAATGAGAGTGTTTACTTTGGCAGTGAAGGACATGTCAGAACACGCACGATGTAGTCAGAACCATTCGAGCGTTCAAACAAGTTTGATTTTTTCGTGCATTCGGACGTTGAATTTCAAGTGTTTTTGTTTTTTCAACATGGATATTAATAAATTGATTAGTCTTGTGTTCGAGAATAGGTATTTGTGGGACATGAAAGACAAAAACTATCACAACAGAGATATTTCTCGGCAGAGATAGCTCTCATTCTGAAATACATGAAAAACTTTTGCAGGTTGTTCCACAAATCTTGATATAATATTTGGAACTCTCCCTTGTGGAAAATAAGTGGTTAACATGCTCTGTTTTCCCACCACCTATCAACAATAACTTAATCAACGGACTTTCAAGAAAATAAAACTCATCAAGTTTGTCCATTTTGCTGGGAGGCAGAAACGCACTGACTGTCAGAAAACGTGCACAGTATATCCACCTTGTTCTGACGAGGATTTTGGACATACTTGTCAGAACAAGATTTTGTCAGAATTCGCATCCACAGTAAACGTAGCCTTACTTGACTTGTTTTTTAAAATTTTAGCCAATTCAGTAATTAGTTTAATACTGTAGCCATGTTTTGTTGTCAGCTTTTTAATAGATTCAATCTCTTGCTATTTATCCTTTTTTCTAGAACAATATATGTAAAGTCTTTGAACAAGTGTTCTAAATGCTGCTATTTTAAAACTTTTTGGATCATTAGAGACAGAAGGTATGAAAAAAGAAGGTGGATTTAGTTTGTGAACACAATACTCACAAAACCTTATCCCCTTGAAAATATACAAGGCCAACCTGACTGGTAAATGTATTAGCTTTGACAGAAAAACAATTTCATATGCATGGAAATGCTTTTATGATAAACTGGGGAGTGCCGACATAATTTAATTTTATTAATTAACATTATGTTATACCTAAAATTTTTATATATGTATTAAAATTAAATTTATATTTACCATTGTTTAGTTTTTGTTGTTATATATCACTAGCAGACCCTGCCATGCGTTGTTGTGGCTCAAAATGTATCTATTATAAATGTATAACACTTCCCCATGGGGGGAATTTTTCAAAAAATCCCTTCTTAGTGTACATTCTCTTGACGTACCCTATTAAAACGCAATCAAAAACACAAAAAACTGCATCTAAAATAGTATAAATAGAAGAAGAGTTCTTTATGGTAAGCCTTAATCCTGTCCATCTCCGCCCAGGGGGGAATTTCGACATGTATATTATATAAAAACACGTGCGTATTCGAATGCAGTGTTGTGTCAAAATTTTAAAGGAATCAGTAGGAACAAACGAACATTACATTTTTATTTATATAGATAGATAGAAGATGATCTGCTTTAGTTCATTTTCACAGAAAAGCAAACTTAGGGCGTCGTACTTGTATCTGTTGGACATAAAAGCCTTAACCTAGATTATATCTTTAAATTTATATGAATGTTTAACGGAATAATATACAGCCTATGTCCACCCTGAAGTTCCATTCTAAATATTGGTGAAAGAATTTTTGAAATCAGATGAGTAGTTTTGGAGATTACCTGCTACATCCAAACTTACTTACAAACATTACCTCTTTATAATATTAGTATAGATTATGTTTGTGTTCCAATTTTTAAAAAAGTAATATTTTGAAAAGTTATTCTGCATTCCAATTTGGAATATCATTAATTTAAATACCTGAGGCAGACCTTGAGTAAGATCGAAAACATTTGTCAAAAGTGAACCAGACTTTAAAGTGTGTTTGTGATTCTTTCCAGTATTGAGAAGAAGGTAATTTTAATTATAGAGGTTCCACATTTACATTGATATACTATTACTTGTAGCTCAGATATGATATAAGAAATGATTAAAAAAAACATCAGTATAAAATATATGAAAGAATATTAAAATAACAAAGTTAAATGTAAGTTTTGTAACATTACTTGATCAAATGCAGGAAATATATAATCAGCAAACTGAATTTCTGCAATAGCAGTTGCTCCAGCAGCAGCTACACCTATACCAAAGCCAGCTATACCCTGCTCACAGAGAGGAGTATTGAAAACTCTATCCTTTCCTGAAAATATAAAGTGATTTTAGAAAATGCTTAATTCAAAAGTCCATTAAAAATAGTGAAAAACAGTATGATTGCATTCTATGTAAATCTGAAATACCATATTTTATAGCATGTAAGATGCCACTTTTGTTGAGGAGGGAAAAATTACCTTGCACCGTGTGATGTTTTAATCTCCCACAGGCTAATGGAATCTTCAAATGATCTTCAGTAAGTTACCTAGTAACCTCTACTTAGCCCAACTCTTAAATACAAATGTTATTGTTTAATTAAACATATTATTATTATTGTTTTTGTCAGAGCTAAGTTGCTTCTGCATATATTTGTGTAAAATATTTTAATGGTAAATAACTTCTTTGAAACGCATGTTTTTCCCTGACAAATAACAAATAACAGTGTGCAATTAAATTTTACTTTTTTTTAACCAGAATACAATAAAAAAAAAATTGATGCTGAGTACCAAAAGCCTGGGATGACTTAAATACATTAAATACTTTTCCTAAATATTTTGTGCTGAAATGGAGGTCATTTTATATGGTGTAAAATACAATAGTATAATAAAATATATAGTAATAAAATTTTACCTACAAAATTTAAAATAGTGCAAATTTCAAGATTTAAAATTATATATACGTTTCAAAATAGGTAGGTAGGGTATATTCATGTTTCCAATAATGGGAGCACCACTTTAGCTAGTATGTGAAATACAGTATGATTACAAAATAAAATATCCACCATTTATGCTGTTTAAGTGCATCCATATATATAGTAAACAACTACCTAATACAGTGGAACTCCATTATCTAGCTCAAACAGTACTGGGCCTGATCTGAATGACTGAAAATCTAGAAAATTCATTAACAACATAATAAACCAATGTTTTTGGGTACATACTATCTACTTGAATCTTGTTTATTAATAGAACTTATTATACTGGTATAGTTTCTGATCATCAAAGAGAAGAGATCTTAGTCAAAAGTCAAAACAAAATATCTTTATTTTGACTAAGATCTCTTCTATATAGATAATCTGGCAGATTGTTTGGTTTACATGAATCAGAAATTATTTGTGATTTTGACCACTATTGTGCTATTATTTTAACAGACACTGTTGTTATAAAACAAATTTTTTTATTCATAACAATTTTATTAAAATATTCACTAAGTGATGATTCTAGTGCTAGTGATGAAAAACATCTGAAAATCAATAATTTTGGAATAGAAGTTCAACAAAAGGCAAGATAGCATGTTTTAATTTTTACCTGCTGCATTTACTGATCTTTTAGTTTAATCAGACTATAACATAAAAAAACAACTGTATCAGTTAAAAAACTAAAACATAAAAAAACAACTGTTTAAATCAGCAAACAATTTTAATGTATAGACAATGCTTTCAACCTATTAACTTAATGGGATTGTATCAGATTAATGCATTTATATGTTCTATTTTTAGAATGTATATGAATTTCAACATAAACATTAAAAAATTCAAATTTTTTATAGAAAATTCATTTAAATTTCAATATTGTTGTTAAAAGAACAACATTGAAATTCAAATGTGTATTCCAAACAGAATTAATAAATTTTATTATTACGTGTGAGGTTATAAAAATTAAAACAAAAAGTTTAGTTTGATGTTATTTTTGTAACATCATTTTCCTGCATTGTTTCCAGTTTTTCATAAACTGAAACAATGTAGGAAACTGAAGTTTTTAATTAAATAAAACTGATATTGTTTGTAACATCAAACTAAACTTTTCATTTTAATTTTTAAAAAATTGCATATGATAATAAAATTTGTTATTGTACAGAACGTGTGTTTGAATTTTAATGTTGTTCTAAAGTATGAATTCCGTAACATTCATATTGGAGCATACATATATTCTGAAAATAGAATGTATAAATATAGTAAAACTTCTGTAACTAGAAACTCCAAGGGGCAGGAAAAAACTTTGAATTAGAGAACAATAGAGTAAAAAATGTTGATTCTGAACAGATTTGTACTTTTACCTTTCTTGCATTATATAAAGAATCTTTGATAGTTTTTTTTTTTTTTTGTTTTAAACAACCCATGTAATGCCTTTCAGCAAACTTTTCAATGTAACTAATGGAAATGAACAGTTTGCAGGTATATCTTGTTGAGATAAAGTAAGAAGATCTCTTACTTTGAATTGGAATGTTGTCTGATAATTGGTATTGGAGAGCAGATACAACTAATTGTCTAAAAATTTCATGGAAATCCAACAATTAATCACTTTGAATAGAATAAATATTAAAATTTGAGTTGGAGAAATTGAATGTAACATAAATCAGTCAGGAACCATGAAAAACTTCAACTTGAAGAAAATTTGAGTTAAAACATTCAAGTTGGACATGTTAAATCTTGATGCTATTCCATTGAGATCAAAGTGCTTTGTTTTCTTTGAGTTACAGACATTTGAGTTAGAGAAGTTTTACTGTACATCAACCTGATGCAGGCCTATTAGTAGGCCAAAACATTTGTCTGTACATGAAAACTGTTTGCTGATTTGAAAATAAGTTGTTTTTTATGTTATTCATCTCATCCAGTTTTAATGAGTAGTGTTTCTGATTCATCTGACTATAATTATAATAATAATATAGAAATGTAATAAAAAATGATGACAATAGTAATTAATAAAATTATCATGTTTAAAAAAATGCTACAATACATACACATTTACTTGAATCCCCAACTTTATATTTCTTCCTATCAGAAAACTAGTTATTATGTAGTTACTGAATTATGTGGTCTTAAGAAACATATTCCTTACATAAAATGTTGCAGATGTTGCAAAACATAATACAGTTGACCCCCCTATAACATGGGTTCCTATAGTTCGGATTCCTATATCACGGCGAAAAAATTGCGATAGTATTCGTACAAACATGCTAAAAAAACTCCTATAATTTGGTAAAACGTCATCGCCGACTCGTGTCGCGACAGGATTGCACAAACTATTGAGTTTAAACGAGCAGCGGACCTACTAAAAACCATTTATTATTTAATGTCCATAAAAATTATATTTATATTAATGATGTCTCTAAAGTTCAGCAAATTTTTCACGAAAAAAATAATTTATCAGGAAGCACGTGAGCACCATTCGATGACAATATCCACTACGAAAACAAGCTTAAGCAACGGCGTAGTTGAACAGTGCACACTCGGTAAGTAATCCTACAATTTTTTGTTTATAGCATAGTTTATATGGATTATTCCCAAAAAATTATATGTATTTTGGAAATGTTGAGTCGAATTAGTCTAGAATTGATTAATTTTATGGAAGAAACCTTTCAAACAGCTGTAGTCCGTAAACAGCATACGTGCCGGGCTGTGATTGGCTGGACTCCTAGAAGCTGGATTCATAAAACTTGGAACGTATTTACCGTGTTATAGGGGGTCAACTGTATGTTGCAGATGGATATTTCAAATAAACTTATTGCTATAAGTTTATTTAAAATGTGTTTCTTTGTTGGTTTGCTAAAGTATTGATTTTGTATTATTTTCAGTGAATGTTTCATTTTTGTATTAGTCTTCAATTTTGTAATTATCATTTATGTATATTAAATATGGGATCCATTCAAAGATGATAAAAATTGTTAAAGTATTTTAAATATTAAACTATTTTACTATTCTTTAATGAAATTAATAAAATGCTTTCTAAATATAAAAATGTAATTTATATTTTGTAGAAGAACAAGTAGCATAAAAATTTATCATCACAATAAAAATTTGTAAAATATCATTGTCATATACAGTTACTTACCATATTTATCTTGAAGACCAACAGTACATCTAAAAACACCACCAAATGCTACATCTTCTCCAAATATCACTGAATAAAATACAAAAATATAGTTAGAACATATTAATTTGTGTGCTAATTAATAAAAATTACTGTTATATGAAAATTTAATTCAAACAAGAACATATTATCTATTTAATTATATTCATTTAATAAATTGATATAAATCTTTATCTATAATGGATAAATTTTAGTTATTTATAAAACTTTTATTATGCAAATATTAAAATACTTTTAAGATTTAAAAATATCAAGAAATCAAATAAATCTTTATAAATACAAACAAACCAATTTTTAGAAAATTTTAATTTTTAAATTTCCAAATATTTAGTAATTCAATATATAAGTTAACCAAAAAAGTGTTAGAATATATAAGAGTTATTCAAATGAAATGCAGACTAGACTGTATAATATATGGTGTCACTGGTCACAATAACAGGATTACAGTACACACAGCATAAAGACAAAGTTTCTTTAACTTCTACAGGATATCACTTCCTGCATTCAGACTTGTGTTCCAGCTTAGTACTAACTTGTACCATACTGGAACACATCTGAATTCAGGAAATGCACAGAAAGAGGAAGACTGTTGGATAAACCACTTTTTTTAAATTTGAGAATTTTAAAGGTCTGAAGATATGAAGTTGCACATGTGTTTGAATGCAGAAGGTGATTTCCTATAGTGGCTAATGCAACTTTGTCACTCTGCTGTATACTGTAATCATGTTTTAGTAATCAATGACACCATGTGTTATACAGTTCAATCTATGTTTCATTGAACAACCCTTACAGTATCTTATTTTTTTTGTTATTTCTATTTTGCTAATAAAAGTAATAAAACAGAATCTTTAACTAATACATTTTATATTATTACATGACATTACAACAAGTAGGAAATGCCAACAAATTAAGCATGTGCACTGTGAACAAATAATAATTAAAATGGTTAATGTTTAAAGCACTGGTTAAGACTGAAAATTATAAATATAGCAATTACAAGTTATCAGTCATGTTGAGGCTGATAATATAAAAAGGTAGCTTAAAAATACCTATTTACTTGAAGATAATGATACTTATAACTAAAATGCTGATTACAATAAGCAAAGTTTTATAAGTGAATTTTAATTTGTATGTAATATGAATTACTTGATATTTAATTCTTTAATTTTAGATATTATCTAATAGATGTTTTGCTCCTGATTGTCTTTAGTGGTCCAAATCTAACACTATTTCACAATGTTCTCTATGTTTTTGTAATTTAAAACAATTCTTTGTAAACAAATACTGTTTTATATATTATTTACACTTATTTAATTTACATACAGGCATACCTTGCTAATAAGGTGGATTAAGTTCCAAACCACTGCTGAAGGGCAAATATTGCCTTAAAGTGAAACAGCCTATTTTTTTTCACTTGCCAGTACATATAAAAGCCTAAAAATATATTTATACTATCATTTATTAAATGCACAATAGTGCTAGGTCTAAAAAATACAAAGTAAAAATAATACAAAAAAATCCTGAAAATCCCTTCATGTTTATTATTTTTGGCTCTTGCCTTAGCAAGAGCCAAAAATAATAAACACGAATCTAATTGAAAAGTACTAAATTAATGAAATTCTATAAAAGAGAAGTGCCTTAAAGCAAAGTATGTCTGTATTGAAAATTTTCATTGAAAAAGAATTGATAGTAATAAAAAACAACATTATAATTTTAAAAAATGAGGAGCAAATTAATAATAATAATAATAATAATAAACATCTAAAAAATAAGCAGTAGGCACTTAAAATCAATTGTTCAGATGGTGTTTTGTTGTATAAGTGTAAAAGGTTAAACTTTGTTAATAGCACATCAATTATTTTAATTTTTTACTATTTCACATTTTTTCTGTTATAAGCACTCAACATCTTTCAAATGTACTATCCCTTTTTTTATAAGAAGTCTGCTTCTACTCAAATATTTCATGTCAGCAAGTAAATCAGTGAGGCCAATTTAATTTACTACATGATATTATGAGATATATTGTAAATAAATTAAAGATTTAAAATACCTGCTGTTGGATCACTTTCAAGTGCTATATCAAGTGCATTCGTAACAGCTTGGTAAAGATTCATTCGAGCAGTTTCACCTATATAAAAATATATAAATTTAAATTAAATAATTGATTATAAAAAATATAAATTTTAACTAGTAAATAGAGTAGAAGTTATATACAGTGATCACTATTGAAAATAAACTATATATATATAAGTATATAAAATAACAAAGTATGTATAATCCTGAATGGTCTTAAATACCACAATGGAACCATTTTTAAATTGTCAGTATGCATATTAATAGCTTACAACATAATCAGTGGTGACTTGTGACTGTCTGATACAGGAGTGCTGAATACAGTAACATAACTAAAACATTATTAGGAGTAAATGGAAAGGTGAATATAAGTTTGCAAGTTAGAACATGCCAACTTACATTCACCTCTGTACCATTATAGATGAATGGTAAGCTTTTAGATATTGTATATGCATTTGTTTAAGTGTTTTTGACACATTCAAATTTTTTCTGCATTTATCTGATCTTTTCATAATTATATTTATTTACAAAGGTTAGGCAGCCTGGGTCCTCTGGGTTCCTCCCTGGTTATACTACTGCTTTACATAGCAAATTATATTAAAAGCAACAGGATGAAACATTCAGCTACTACATGAATGTTTGATCCTGTGGCTGGATACTAAGATAGCCAAAAATGTTTGATAAATAAAAATTGTTGCTGGAACAGGCTAGAACTTTTTAAATTTATCTTATTAATATATGTTTTTTAAGAAAATAATAATAATAATAATAATGATTTAAATAAGAAAATAAACAAGTAAAGATTGCATTTTTTCAATGAAACAGATAAAATTATTTCACTATCATTAAATACTATAATCTGCTAACTGTAGTTGGATTTAATGGAAATAGATGTGTTCTTTTGAACATGTGTATAAATAATAATCAATTATCTTTTGAAATAATATAATAATTTTACTATAATTATTTTATAATACAGTTTCTTTATTATAATACATTTAAAAATATATACTACGTACCTCCGAAACCTTTAACCGATATGAATAAAAAGGTTTCGGAGGTACATAGTATTTAGTAAACTCTGGTGTGTAGTTGTACGTTATTACTTAAAAATATATTTTTCACTGATAGATTACTATCCCAAGTCAGCAAAATTGTGATTTCCTATTTTCAGCATTTGTCAGCTTTGCATCTGCATGCATATCCTGCAAAAGAACCATGTCCCATGTCAGCCTTTATAAAGCTTTAAATAATTCAGAATTTTAGGGAAAATCAAATAATACCTCAATTCTCAGAGAGTATGCAGAGTAATGCAAACATTTAGTTTGCTAAAAATACATGGCCAACCATCATCATCAGCTATATAGAAATGTTACAAAGGCCCTCTGCCTGTAGAGCAAAGGAAACTCAACGATTTGGTGAAACTGAAAATATTTACAATCAAATATTTATTGAAAGTTTGGTGGTGAGGTATGACTCTGATGTAATTATTGGGACTGATGTGTTAAATTCATTCTTTACTATTTTACATAATTTCATATTAGATATAAAATATATTTTATATCTTTATCGTTATTTCAATGATATTTTAAAAGTGAATACATAAATGAAAGCAAACTGATTCTCTTATATAATCAAAATATTTTAACTTTTTTTAATGTAAAAAATGTAAAATATAATATTAAAAAATAGTGTAAAATGTAAATTAATTTCATTCTTCGGTTAAGTCGATATTAATTTTTTTCTACAAATCTTTTAATATTTTCTGCATTCACATTTATAAACTTTTTTCTAATTCTATAGACATTTATTTTTGGACCTTTTACTTACTTATATAGAATATATTATATGCATTCTAAAATGTTTATATATTTTCTTTAACATATTTAATTATAATTAATGTACTCTTAGAACCTATAACTGGTGTGACATAAAAAAACAAATGATAAAGTTCACCACAAACGTTTTCTAAATCGGTTTCTGTCAGTATCTAAATTTTGTCATCTTAAAAACAATTAATTTCTAAGTAAAATATAGATACAGTAGAAACTCATTTTAATGGTTCATGAAACAATGGATTTTTTCTCAGGTCCCATCAAATCAATGAAATTTTACTTCCGTTTAGCAGATCCATAACTCAGAATAATGGATTTTTTTTTCTAGCTTCATTTATTGTAAACTTTGCATTTTTTCAACATTTAGTTAATATTTGGGTAATAATTTTCTGTGAATTTATAGAGTTCGATAATACACTTGTTACATCTGGGATATATACAATTGAAGAATTATACGAAGAGAGTAATTAAGAAGTCATCTAATGAACATTCTGACATTGGTCTGAGTGTAGTGACAAAATTTAGCAAGGCTTTTATTGAGTCTTTCCAAGTCATGAAGATCTTCCTGATAAGTTTCAGCATAAACAAATAGGCTATATACAACATTACTAATATCAAGCAGTTATTAATTTCATAGACAAAAAAGTGGCATCAAAACAAACCAGGATGGACAAGATTTTTAACAAATTATGAAATCAAGTTAAGTGCTAATGAGCATATGTAATTTGCCTTATTTTCCTCTTTTTGTGCTTCCAGTTTATAGTTTTGATCAGCTTTGTTGTAGTACATAGAGCATAATGTATGATCTTGCAACACGTATTCCTGTAGAATAGATATATCAAAGGACTGAATAATTTCAAGTACAGTTATTTCTTGTATGTAAGGGATTAAGAAAATAGAATTTTGATCTACATGCAATTTTGTGTTGTTTTTAAATCATTCACCATTGGCATGTTTTTAATGCAAGCATCTGTACATCAGACTTCTAAGTTTTATTAAAGACAATAACAATGCAGAATATTAAAAAATAAATTAATGTTATAACAATAACGTTTATACAGTTTATTTAAATTGCTACGTATTACATCAAATTAGTAATCACATCTGAAAACAGAGACTTGCCTTCTGAAGGTGGAACGGTATCAGGTACATAAGTAAAATGCGAAGACAGTCGAAATATCGATGCATTACAATGCTTATAAATTAGTAAACCAGATTTTCGTAATTTCAGCTGTCTCGAAAAACATCTACCAATAACCGTGCCAATGGAGGCGGCCATTTTATTTCCGAATACTAGCAATTATATCACATCTTGGTTTCGTATTTATTGAAATTAAAAATATTACTCAATTGGCATTATTGTAATTAATGCGAAATAAATAAATAAATACTATTTAAATATAACTTTGGTAATTTTTTAAAAATAGTTCAGATCTTAATGCAGATAAAATGGTGTCTGTACGAAACGCTAAACTCGTTTAACGTCATTCTCAAAGCAAACTGTGTTTCTGTTTTGGACTACCGGATGACCGAAGTGGCTAAGGCACCAGCCTACGTCCTTGGGGCCTGGGATCAAATAGCTCGGGATACCCCAGGAGTTTTTCATGGGCGGTCTGTCCCGTGTATGTCGGGTCTCGGCCACTCCATTTATCTTTCTGGCCGAACCCACGATGGACATGGAAAAAAGGCCCTGTTCGTGCCAAGAGCGAGAAGAGTAAACAAAGATTGCATAAAGGATTGATTGACGGAATAAGGCAACATAACGCTCGGGCTTAGTGCCAAGGGAGAGATACTGTCAGGAAAGAAACTCCAGAAAACTCTTAGCGGCTAATCAGTTCTTCAAGCGCGTATCTACGAATACTACTAAAAGTGTTCAGTGGTATCATCCATTCGATCACTAGTTGGCTCCGTGGTGGATATGATGAAAAAGACATCTTAGTGCTCACTGGATGGAAAGAGCAAAAAATGAGAAAAAGAAAGTTTATTTCTGTTCACAACAAATTAAAAACGTATAAAACACGTAAATTTAATGTTATTACGAGGAAAAATCGAAAAGTCTTTGAAACTGCATTTTTTCGTGAAAAATAATTAAAATTTCAAAATATACATAAGAGAGCAATTTCTTCTCTGTTGCTTCCGTTGCTTCCATGGTCATCCTCATCACTTTCCAACGCTATATGGCAGTGGCGGGCGTGCCGTGACATTTGATGATAGGGAAGCTGTGTTTTTATAAGAAGCCGACTTCCAGGGGCAATCAGTTAATTCTTTCTTTAAATGTATTTTTAATAGATTATTTATCTGACGTACTTAATAAATAAACAAGTTCAATATAATTACCTCTGTTATTAGATCCAATATATTCCATATGCCCTGTAAATGCCACTTCTTGCTTTGATAAAAACATATAACATCTATTTATTTAGATATAATATATCTATTACCCATAATTATCTCGTTACAATTTTCAATATTTATTTTATATTATTTACTAATGTTAAATTCTATTCCGCTTCGATTTCCAAATTGCTTCAAATACGAAAGAATCGACGATTTTTCGTGTCTTTTGCCAGCTAAATTGTCAAAGACATTCTTATTCCACACACTAATTTCACTCTGTAAATGCATTTTTATGCATTTACAGAGCCATTTTATCGTGAAAATATCGAACAAATTTTTTTATTGAAGCGTTTATATTTAACTTAGGCATTGGCCTTTCTCTTTTAATAATGTTTTCTTTTTCATTATATGATCTCGAGCCAAAACTTTTTTAAAATAAATTTTCAATATCGCAATAACATTCTGAATCGCTAGCCACGATATAAGGGCTAAAATTAAAAATAAAATTATAAAAACTTGGTGAAATAAAATGTGTGGTGGATATACATATCTGGGACAAAATATTCTTCAATTGTACGAATATACTTTTAAAGAAAATTATAATTAAATACAGCTTTGTAATGAAACATACATAAAAATAACATAAAATATTCTTTACTCTTTAAATCTTAACCACTTACTCAAATAGCTCCCTACGAGTGGAATCAGAGACGGTCCTGCTAGGTGTGCGGTGTGTACATGTACGCGGGCTGCCAAATCCCGAGAGTGCCGATACCGGTCAATTTCAAATGCCTCTTTTGTCGCATCACTAATATACTTCAAAAGACACGACAGGGTTCTTGTAAATTTTAAACGTTTCTCACCATAGTTGTAAAAGTCTAAATATGTTAAACATAATAGATTGTCCGTCTTTTGTTTTCTAATTAATTCGTTTTAGGACCAGGTGTTGTCCACGGAAATTTCCAAAATTTACAACTTTTCGGTCACTCTCGTTGAACTGGAAAAATGTCTGTCTTTATTATCTAATATTACGAAGAAATCAGTCCCCACTGTACTCGGTTAGAGATTGGGTCGATTAGGCTTTTGTTTAGGTAAAATTTTGGCTCTTTCATCAGGGTTTTATTTATGTCCCTAATTCCCTAATCTCTTAATTACAGTATTTAACTACTTCTTAAGTAGAAATAAGTCGAAACCAGTTACTTTGCACTCGAATATTTGTAGTCTCGGGAAAAAGTGGAAAGACAAATTTTTATGACAAACGGATACATAGATCGTAAATTTAAGGAAAATAAATTCTAGAGCTTTTTCTGTATCTCGTGCATCTCTCTCATTCGTTAAATTTAGTTGTAAATTATGCTATCAAAGTAACAGCTAATTTTTTAACATTATACAAGAATTGTACACGTTTTTTTCTACATCCCCTTAAAGATGGGATATACGAAATCGTAATATCACTGGTTTAACATTGAAATCCGTAATATAAAATCGGAGAGAAGACTAAATATATCAAATATTTTAACGGATTTTTTAAAACTCCTGTCAACTATACAGAAAACTATCATAAAAACATACAAGTAAATTCTTATCGGTTGGGTTAAGTTATAAATCTATTCGTGATTCGCGTAATCAGGCGAGGGCGGCCAACAGCCCGGAACCGGTCCTGAATAGAATTGGATGCGGTATACGTGTAGCAGCCACCCAAGGTCTTAGAGCCGCCGCAAACTAGCGCTTTGCGAGAGCAAAACGCTAGCAAACATGCGCTAGCACAACCGATGACGTCGAAGGTTCCGCCTCTTTCTTCTTGTCCGCGCTGTTTTTCCTTCGCTAGCGCAGCGATACGAGAGTACGCTCGCTGTTCACAGAATTCAATAACTAGAGCATTTACGCTAGCAAGAGAGAGCGGGGAAGACGGATGACTACATAAACATGTCACATATCGAAAAAGAAATAATAGAATTTTATCGATGTACGTAAATTACATGATTAATACATTCAGTATTGAAAAGAAAATACTATAACCGTTGTATGTAAATAGTAATATACAGTATAGATAGTTTTCGGCTAGTTAAGCCTAGTTAGGCTTAACTAGTAAACATGTTTTTTTTCCATGCTGTTTCAAAGTTCGGAACGAAAACTGACTGATTACAAGTATAGATTATAATAAAATCTTGTTCTATAGCTAATCCACATCTGTGGAATCCACGCCATGTGGACTATGTTACGCGAGCAAACGTTCTGTAGTTTGCGGCTGCTTCTTGCCTGCGTAGCTTACCTAGCAAAATTGGCTCATAGCCTTATGGGAAAAAAAGGAGGGGCTTGGGAGCCCGACTCGAACGTATGCTAGCTCTCGCTTCCTGTAGTTTGCAGTCGCTCTTAGGCTTCCACCAGCTAAACCTGGTGCTCTGTAAAGCGCATGCGTGATTCTGGCTTTTTGGATGCTGACGATACGGCGCTTCCATTCCGCCACTAATATTCAAATATACAATAGCAATCTTATCTTTTTTTTTCACGTATGGTATAGAAATTTGTAATAAGATACATAATGCGGTTATAATAAAATATTGTGCGATTATTTTCATATAATTAAAATTAATATGTATTTATTTTTTACAAAATACAAGGGAAGCGGCGCATCCACCGCTTCTAATGACGGCACGCCACTNATACATAATGCGGTTATAATAAAATATTGTGCGATTATTTTCATATAATTAAAATTAATATGTATTTATTTTTTACAAAATACAAGGGAAGCGGCGCATCCACCGCTTCTAATGACGGCACGCCACTGCTGTATGGTGCGATGCAGTGGAAACAGTATAAGCGGCAAGTAGTTTCACCTAGAGGCCGGTTCCTTTAATCATGTGACACTTCGAAACGTCATCATAACGTCATCCTATAGCCAGCGGTCCTAGCTGTCAGCAAAGGAAATGATGGTAAGCAAGCAATACTTAGACGGCCGGATGGCCGAGCGATCAAGATGGCAGCATACCGCTCTGGGGGATCCGGGATAGAATTCAGACAGGTCGAAAAATCCCTAGGAATTTTTCGTCCGGATATGTCGGGCCTCGTCCCTCACCGGCCGCCCCATTGTGGGTCTATCCCAGGCATGGCCAACATAAGGCCCGCGGGCCGGATCCGGCCCGTGTAATAAATTTATGTGGCCCGCGATCAATCTTTCAATATTAGCTACTCAAATCCAAATAGTTCGATAAAAAAATTCTGACTCCTAAAAATGAAGAAAAAAAAAGGTCAACAACTCACTGTGCGTTTAGAGTTAATTAACCCTCCATTACAAATCTCGTAAGTACAGCGTAGAATGTTGATAAAGCATGATAATGTGAAAAATGTATCTGTAATCTCTATCTATAATTTAGTCTCTACGGTACTGTACATCACAATGAGATCTCGCACCACCTCAAAATCTTTTTAGGGCAGCCTCTAGTTCGGCCCGTGGAAAAAGTTTTCTTTCCAATTCGGCCCGGGGGCAAAAACTGTTGGCCACTCCTGGCCTAGCCGAACCCATAATGGGCTTGCTAAAAGAGTCCCTCTTAGTACCCACAGGACGGAAAAAGTTTTAAAAAAATACTTAATAAAAAAAACTTATTCAGTCAAAAATTTTTTCAAATGTCTGACTCTAATCCGTGAATTTTTAAACTTATTAATTTTTAACTGAGTAAAAATTTATTAAATTAAAAACTCTTATCTTCAGAAAATATGCTTTTTTTAAAAAATCAAATTTTTAAAATATTTCATTTATGTTTAATTCAATCAAAAGTGCATCCTGGAAGTGAATTGTCAAAATCCAATGAATACACAATGAATTGTTTCCAAAAAAGTTAAATTCAATATATTCCAAACAGGAAATGTGTACATTGTAAATGAAGATTCATATTTTCTATTGAATATCAAAAAATAATTTCCTTATCTTATTTTCTCAGTAGGCCTAACTTGTAAGATAATTTCT